GTCCAAACGAGATGCACAATCGAAAGCATTTATATGATTATTTAAACTATTTATAAACGAAGAGTCATTCTTGCACCCAAAATAGCTCAAGGAATAGGACATGCTTGAGTATGCCTGTAAAATAACTCCATATAACTAGTCCAGCGTAACTTGACCTATTATCATAGCGCTGCACACTCCTCTCTTCATAAAATTGTTCGAACAATATTAGTTCCATATCTATCCGTAGGTCATGTTATATTGGTGGATTTGTAAGCACAACTATGGCGCCAGTTTTGTGTGTGTTTTGTTTTGATACACAATTGTTTCTTTATTTGGTTTAAGAAGTATTAATAGTAGTTTAAGTATCCCTACATTGGTAATTAAATAATAAGGGAATATTAATATGTTTTGTGTGGTTTTCGTTCATTAAAATGTTCGTCTACCAACTTTATTAAAGTTTTTGTTGTCCATGGGAAGTTACATTTTTTTTTTTTTGAGGCTGACTAGTTTTTGGGTCATTTAATGATAACCGATCATCGCCGCCTATCGACACCCGCAACACCAAAGGATTCACAATTAGATACGTTTCCGACCTTTTAAATAAAAGTATCTAATAACTACTTTAGAATATCTAGTCTTTTTAGGCGGAAAAATCATTTAATGAATTCTTCCATCGTGGGTGGGCAAGAGAGAGTGTCAGACTCTTAGTCACTAAAAACCATCCTGTTCCTTCTCCTGCTCCACCAGGCCGTGGCCATATTACATTGTCGTGCTTGACCCGCAACCCTAACTGCGGTGGTCTGTTGACTCTTTGAGGCAGAATACCTAGTCACCTATTTGGTTTGAAGGTGGTGGACCTTAATATAAGTACTCGACAAACGAATGTATCAAATAATTCATACAAATCACGTTCTAAATTCAAAATTGTAGTAATCAATTAAATTCAATACACTAATGCTGGATGACCTAAAGAGGTTTTCATTCTTAACAGAATTTTTTTATATTGAATTATCTTTTTTTTTTTCAATGGCGTGTTCTACAATTTTGAAATTTCGAATGGAACTGGATACCATTGATTGTTTATCTGTGCCGATATTTGACGCTTTGCGTATCTTTGCGGGATCTATATGGTGACTTTGTTGCAGCGAGATTTAGGTTATTTTAATAATTTCCCTATTTTATTTTTTTGTTTTATTTTTTCTATGTGATAGGTCGGCAATCTAGCAGACGGATTGCCTGATGGTAAGCAATCGGCGCCGCCCATGAACACCTGCAACACCAAAGGAGTTAGGATGTCTTACTGGCCTTTTGGGGATCAGAGATTTGGAGATTTAGGGATTGGAGATATAGGGAAGGGAAGTCTCCGGTAACCTCACTCACACGGCGAAACACAAGATTTTTTTGGACGGTTTTCTGTGAGGTCGCGGTATCACTCCAGTCAAGCCGACCTATTCGTGCTGAAGCATAGCTCTCCCACTTTTAAACAGACCTTCTCCAGGCATTCTCCAATGAGCCTTAAATAAACCTTCTACAGTCTTCTATAACACACATCAGTTACGAGTTAGCCGACCTGAAGGCCAATAGCGTTGCGTCACCATACATAAATACTATGCATTATGTAAACCATTATAAGTACATATCTACACAAATTGCTTTTAAATTATTCTTTTATACTCACAAAACTTCAATGCAATTCTTTGTGACTGCAAAATTTTGCTACTTATTTGTTTTTTTTTTTTATTTAAGTAATAGATCGGCAAACGAACGGATTACCTGATGGTAAGCAATCAGTGCCGCCCATGGACACCCGAAACGGAGGAGTTACGAGTGCGTTGCCGACCTTTTAGGAATTCGGGATTTGGAGATTTATTGACTGGGGAGGGATTGGGGAAGGGGAAGGATTTGGCCTCCGATAACCTCATTCACACTCACACGGTTAGTATAAGAGAATGCAATCTCAGACTTTTATATTGTAAGTCGAGGTTGCGGATGCAAACCCGAGGAACGGATGTTTTTTAGTCGGTTAGAATCTGACACTCAATCGAGAAGAGACATTTAATGAATTGGCCCCTCAAAAAAGGCAAATATCATTGCTATTTATCTTATACTTAGTAGTTTGACTAAGCACAATCAACAAGCAAGAATAACGAATACACAGAATGAGAAATACTAAATTATATATGTAAAAGGTATTTTATTTTATTCAAACATTTTAAAAGACCTGCTTCAGTATTTGGCGAGCACAGATAATGATTAAGATATTTATGTGTTTTAAATTGTCTAAGATTACTCAACATAGGTTGCTAGTTTTCATGCCAGACACTACAAGTATACTGATCTATATAATTATACATTTAAATAATTTAAACCACAACTAAAAACACCATACAGCACTAAAAGAAGCTATTATTTAAAAAATAAAAACTCCAACATGGCAACCATAGACGATGTGCAAAAAGGAAAAAGGTCGCACGACTCTTAAAATACCTTAGGCATAAGTTTAAAAAAAGAATATGACATCTATGAATCACCGCTTACATTAACGTTGGTGCTTGTACAAAAATTGCATATTCTTAACTAAATCATGCATGAAGGCTAGTTGCTCATAGCAGCAGGTCAAGTTACTCCTTTCTGTAAATTCTTCACTAGATTTTTAACCATATGACCTTGATGTAAAATCGAAAGTTTAATGAGTATAATTTTAAGATTGGAGTAGGTTGAACTGCTGGCATCTGTGCATAGTTAGGCCTGTTCAGTGTTTTGCAACTCCAAGTTATGGTATAAGGATTCCACTGCTACATACATTTTTATTAATACACAAACTCGTATGTCTCAACTGTGTCGAGATTTGTACGTTTCCATTGTAATACGATATTATTCTTAATTGACCCTTTGACTGGCGTACGTAATAGATATAGATAATAGGTCTAGTTTCCTACAGGCTTTTGTCCTGTAGGGAAAATCATCAAATGACTTCTCTCCTCTCGCCCAGAGTAAGGTAAAAAGGGGTGACAAACTCTTACTGACTAAAAACGCCTCCGTTCCTACTCCTGCTCTAGGCCGACGGCACCGCGCCCTCGGCTTAAACCTTATTGCCTATAGCGCTAACCGGGGCTAAACTTCGGCCCATGTAGGGCCCCGTCTGTAGTGGTCTATTAGTTCTTTGAGGCGAACGATATGCACCGTACGCTCGGGTTTGGTTCTGGTCGCGGTCTGCAGACCCACGCTAGTCTAAAACAGACTAGACTTTTGTTACCCTAATGTACGAAAAACAATTTGATTTGTGATTGTCACAACTCAGTAAGAGGATCAGGTAAATGGCTCTTGGAAAAATTATCGTATTGCCGTCACGATAAAACGTAAGCTGCCTACTTCATTACTATACCGTATGATAACGTGAACACTCACAATCTGCATTTGTATGCTAGAGGCGGGCGCGGGCGCACGACTGAGATTTACTGTTACGACGCCGCGCATCTCACAGCGGACGAGTACCACTCTACCACTTCCACAACCATAGCTCTAGGATGATAGATTTACTTTAAAAAAAAAATCAACAATCTTAATTTTTTGAATATGGAACCAAGTTTGTTTGTGCATCACTTAATGGCTACTAATCGATGACGCCAGGATTATCTTTTTTTTTTTTAAAGAATCGTTGCCCCGCTCTTGTATTTACTCCCCTGTCGTGGGTGCGTTTACAAACATTCAATTTTACATACACATTACACCCTGACCCGATACAACAATTTGTGGATCACACAAAGTGTTGTTCCGTGCGGGAATAGAGCCCGCGAATACCCTACACCATAAAAAAAATAAACAAAAAAATATACGTACATGAAACACCAGAAGAACTACAAGTGCGTTGTTTGTTATTTGAGGATTGGAGGTTACAACAACGAATGTATTATAGGAGTCATATTGACGACTCCTATAATACCTACGTTGCCTTATAAGCCTTGAATTTTTGGACATAAGCAGCTATGTAACTTACCAGAAAATACTACCATACTGTAGTCCTATATATTGTTACAGAAGATCTCGAGCTACAACGATCAAACTATTACCAAAAGCTTTGGAAAATAACTAATAAGTGTACGTTAGCTGAGGCTCAATCATTCCCCTCAGTTCCTCCCCATCCCCAAAATTTCAATCCTTAATTTCCCTCTTAAAGCACTTGTGTCGGCTCTGGTGTCATTTGGTGACATCTATTCGCTATCCTATAAATAGGTCCTCGTGAATACACTGTTAGTTAATAATCGTCTTAGAAAACAGGCACAATGGAATAATTGGATCCCTTTTATACTTTGAGAAATTCGCACACCATGTTATGTTATAAGCTTGCACAACTCTTGAAAGAAATTCAACATACAATACGAAATCAAGTAGTTTTCCTCACATTACATTTATATGTCATTCATCTAGCAATTTTAAAGTAAATTAGACATAATAAACCCTAAATCACTGCCAATTTTCATTCATACATAAACATACATAGAAAATATCTTTCGTCATTTGAATGGCACTGACTAATTTAGTTTCGCCAAAATTTTACCGCGATGAACCCCTTTCATTGTTACAAATTAAGCGTGGCACTTACAAAACAAACTCAATTGAAGCATTTGTGACTGACAGACAGACAGACAGACAGACCTGTTTACCCGCCCATGAGTAGGGTAACAATGTGTAGAGATGGAAAATTGCGGACATAAAAAATTACTCCTTACATAATAAATGCGAAAGTTTTGTTAGTTTCGACGAAGGGACGGATGTTTGTTGCTCTTTCACGTAAAATGTATTTAATGGATGATGATGAAACTGCGCAGAGATAGAATATAGTTAAAAAAAAATATGTAAGCTAATATTCATCTGGAAATAGCGGGCGTGGCCACTGCAGAAGCTATTATTATTAAATTAAAAGAAACGATCGAGGTTGAAAACTTCCATCTATATAAAAACTATCTTCTGAAAGAAGTGTGAAGGAGGACGAAAAAGACGTTGTAATCAAATAATTGTTAAACACTTTGCATGACCAAAGGTAAAGTACTAGTATGGCTGTGCGTATCTCTATCTCTATCTCTATCTCTATCTCTATCTCTATCTCTATCTCTATCTCTATCTCTATCTCTATCTCTATCTCTATCTCTATCTCTATCTCTATCTCTATCTCTATCTCTATCTCTATCTCTATCTCTATCTCTATCTCTATCTCTATCTCTATCTCTATCTCTATCTCTATCTCTATCTCTATCTCTATCTCTATCTCTATCTCTATCTCTATCTCTATCTCTATCTCTATCTCTATCTCTATCTCTATCTCTATCTCTATCTCTATCTCTATCTCTATCTCTATCTCTATCTCTATCTCTATCTCTATCTCCATCTCCATCTCCATCTCCATCTCCATCTCCATCTCCATCTCCATCTCCATCTCCATCTCCATCTCCATCTCCATCTCCATCTCCATCTCTATCTCTATCTCTATCTCTATCTCTATCTCTATCTCTATCTCTATCTCTATCTCTATCTCTATCTCTATCTCTATCTCTATCTCTATCTCTATCTCTATCTCTATCTCTATCCCTATCTCTATCTCTATCTCTATCTACCTTCCTTCGCCTTCGCCTTCGCCTTCGCCTTCGCCTTCGCCTTCGCCTTCGCCTTCGCCTTCGCCTTCGCCTTCGCCTTCGCCTTCGCCTTCGCCTTCGCCTTCGCCTTCGCCTTCGCCTTCGCCTTCGCCTTCGCCTTCATGCACCAAGCATGGCTCAACCGCACTTATTCTACATCGATTATTAAGTTATGTTTTGTATTTGCTCTTTTTATCCTTAATAAAAGTTATCCAAACTAATAATTATATGCGAAAGTAACTCTGTCTGTTTGTCTGTCTTTTCTTCATGCCTAAACTACTGAACCTATTTGTGTGAAATTTGGTACAGACATACATAGTTTGGAACTCGAGAAAGGACATAGGATAGCTTTTAAACCAAAAATATTTCAAGAATCGAAACGACCGTGCGGTTATTTACTTTTTCATCTATTTTAAAAACTTCATTCATAACTGAATGAATAAGGAATACATGAATGAAATCATTAGCTTCAACTGAATGGAAAATAACAAATTGGACTCACGTTGTGTTCACTCCAATTTATGTCATTAAGTAAATTATACCTTATTGAATTTGAATTGAACAGACAGGAGTAGGAAAAGTTGCTTTCAATTTTCATTATTCATAATCACTTGATTCTATCTGAATCAGATAATATCTGAATGATATCTAAATCAGAAACAAAATACTTCACTAGGTTTTTATATTTAGATCAATAAAATTATTCTATTTATTTCAGTCGTAGGGTGATCGAAATCCGCGGGTCTGAGATTGTCGAGCAAAGGAGCTCGTCTCCAGACCAGCAGTACTATTCTGTAAATATAGTATGTATTGCCGTCACGATAAAGCGAAAGCTTTCTACTTCATTACTCTACCGTATGATAACGTGAACACTCAAAAATCTGCATTTGTATGCTAGAGGCGGGCGCGGGCGCACGACTGAGATTTACTGTTACGACGCCGCGCATCTCACAGCGGACGAGTACCACTCTACCACTTCCACAACCATAGCTCTAGGATGATAGATTCACTTTTTTTTAAATAATCAACAATCTTAGTTTTTTGAATATGGAACCTAGATTGTTTTTGGATCGATGACGCCAGTATTATCGTTCTTGTCACATACACCCACCACCAGAAGAATTCCAAGTGTGTTGTAGGTCCTTTGACTGTTTAGTATTCGAAAATTGCAGGTTAACATATAGAGGAAGCCTTGATTTTTTTGGATATAAGCATCTATGTAACTTACTACAAACTACTACCTACTCCTGGGTCGCTCGATTTCCTATAATAGAGTTGAGTTATGTATACCTACTAGATATGTAGTACCTACGTGTCATGATCCCAAGCTACAAAGATCAAACATTTAAACAAAACCTTTAAGAAATAACTTATAGGTCTACGTAAGCGGAGGCTACCCTTCCCTAAATCTCCAAACCTCAATTCTCCCTCATAAAGCACTAGTATTTGCTCTGATGTCCATTAGTGCCAACGATAGCTTGTTATCACCAGTTGTTTTATCTATTCGCTATCCTATAAATAAGGTCCTCGTGAATACACTGTTAGTTAATAATCGTCTTAGAAAACAGGCACAATGGAATAATTGGATCCTTCCGATCTTTTATACTTTGAGAAATTCACACACCATGTTATGTTATAAGCTTGCACAATTCTTGAAAGAAACTCAGCATACAATACGAAATCAAGTAGTTTTCCTCACATTACATTTATATGTCATTCATCTAGCAATTTTAAAGAAAATTAGACATAATGAACCCTAAATCACTGCCAATTTTGATTCATACATAAACATACATAGAAAATATCTTTCGTCATTTGAATGGCACTGTCTAATTTAGTTTCGCCAAAATTTCACCGCGATGAGCCCCTTTCATTGTAACAAATTAAGTGGCAATTACAAAACAAACTTAATTGAAGCATTTGTGACTGACAGACAGACAGACAGACCTATTTACCCGCCCATGAGTAGGGTAACAATGTGTAGAGATGGAAAATTGCGGACATTAAGAATTACTCCTTACATAATAAATGCGAAAGTTTTGTTAGTTTGGACGAAGAGACGGATGATTGTTGCTCTTTCACGAAAAATTTATTGAATGGATGATGATGAAACTGCGCAGAGATAGAATACAGTTAAGTAAAATATGTAAGCTAATATTCATCTGGATATAGCGGGCGTGGCCACTGCAGAAGCTATTATTATTGAATTAAAAGAAACGATCGAGGTTGAAAACTTCCATCTACAACTGAACTGAATCAGATAATATCTGAATGATATCTAAATCAGAAACAAAATACTTCACTAGGTTTTTATATTTAGATCAATAAAATTATTCTATTTATTTCAGTCGTAGGGTGATCGAAATCCGCGGGTCTGAGATTGTCGAGCAAAGGAGCTCGTCTTCAGACCAGCAGTACTATTCTGTAAATATAGTATGTATTGCCGTCACGATAAAGCGAAAGCTGTTTACTTCATTACTCTACCGTATGATAACGTGAACACTCACAATCTGCATTTGTATGCTATGCAGATTGTGAGTGTTCGAGTTCGTTGAAGCGGGCGCGGGCGCACGACTGAGATTTACTGTTACGACGCCGCGCATCTCACAGCGGACGAGTACCACTCTACCACCTTCACAACCATAGCTCTAGGATGATAGATTCACTTTTTTTTTAAATAATCAACAAGCTTAATTTTTTGAATATCGAACCAAGATTGTTTATGGATCGATGACGCCAGTATTATCGTTCTTGTCACATACACCCACCAAGAATTCCAAGTGTGTTGTAGGTCCTTTGGCTGTTTAGTATTCGAAAATTGCAGGTTAGCATATAAAGGGAGCCTTGATTTTTTTGGATATAAGCGTCTACCTATTTAACTTACTACAAACTACTACCTACTCATGGGTCGCTCGATTCCCTATAATATGGTTGAGTTGGGCGGTGCTGGTGTACCTACGTGTCACGATCCCAAGCTACAAAGATCAAAAATTTCAACAAAACGTTTAAGAAATAACTTATAGGTCTACGTAAGCGGAGGCTACCCATTCCTAAATCTCCAATCCTCGATTCTCCCTCATAAAGCACTTGTATTCATATCCATTAGTGCCAACGATAGCTTGTTATCACCAGTTGTTATATCTATTCGCAATCCCATAAATAAGGTCCTCGCGAATACACTGTTAGTTAATAATCGTCTTAGAAAACAGGCACAATGGAATAATTGGATCCCTTTTATACTTTGAGAAATTCGCACACCATGTTATGTTATAAGCTTGCACAACTCTTGAAAGAAACTCAGCATACAATACGAAATCAAGTAGTTTTCCTCACATTACATTTATATGTCATTCATCTAGCAATTTTAAAGTAAATTAGACATAATGAACCCTAAATCACTGCCAATTTTCATACACACATAAACATACATAGAAAATATCTTTCGTCATTTGAATGGCACTGACTAATTTAGTTTCGCCGAAATTTTACCGCAATGAATCCCTTTCATTGTAACAAATTAAGCGTGGCAATTACAAAGCAAATCAATTGAAGCATTTGTGACTGACAGACAGACAGACAGACCTGTTTACCCGCCCATGAGTAGGGTAACAATGTGTAGAGATGGAAAATTGCGTACATTAAGAATTACTTCTTGCATAATAAATGCGAAAGTTTTGTTAGTTTGGACGAAGGGACGGATGTTTGTTGGTCTTTCACGTAAAAGGAGACTGGCGGTTTTAGGCCTGAACGATGACAGAAATGAAACTTATACGAAAAAAGGTACATTTTTACGTTTAACTATTTTCTTCAATACTACTTTCAGATAACTTGTCTAAGAGGAGGAAAATAAGTTGTAATATAGCGAGTATAATTTGACAAATCGATTGTTGCGATTTTTAAATTATGATTGCGATTGAAAATGAGATTGGTTCCTTTATCACATATATCCCAACGTAGGTCTTGGCCTGGGTAATGAGGTGTTCTTTTAGGGATTTATAATGTAATTCACAGGTTTTAGAATTAATTATTCACTTAATATCTGTAATCGATTATTTACATTGCCATACTAAAAATAGAAAATAGTTTTTAGGTTGGCAACAAACTGTCACTTGTCACCTGTAGATCTTTATTTTATGTCAATTTAGGCGCCGCCGGTGTTTTTTTCGTTTTCTCTCTGTGTTATTGATTGTTATATTTGACCTTAGCTTTGTAAAAAGCTAGCTTAGCTTAGCTTAGCTTTTTAAACAGAAGGAGAGCACAATTTCAGAGCATTGATGCCAATAACAATAACTTAGAAGATTTTCCACGTCTCTCTGTATCAGAAATGTCACTAATATGTTTAGGCAGTTATCAAATAAAACAAGCCAAATCTTATTATGGTGAGCATGTCAGGGCTAATGGTTACTATATTATTGATGTGTGTCGTGAGGTTGACGACAGCCTGCCTTCAGGCTTTATCAATGACAACAATATGTGTTTATTGAGAGGGAGAATTCAAAGTAGGCACGTAAGCCGGAAAATATATTTTGTTTATATTTTAATTAATAATAATTTGGCTGGAAGAGAAGCAATTTCTCAATACTGTTGCAATTGTATAGTCGGGACACGAACAGTAGGTTGTTGTGCTCACATAATGTCAATTATTTGGTACTTAGGATGGGCTAGGTACCAAAATAATATCCAACCTCGGGCACAATAGAATCTCTCCGGCAGATAGAATATTGCTATGTTATGACAGTGAATAAATAAATAAAACATAAAGTCGTTTTTATTTAATTTCTCCCTAATCTAAACTATAAACAGGTTACAAACACAGTTCCTGCTTGAACCATGTTCACTTGAACCTATACAATAATAAAATGCGGTATAATACTTATTATTCATGTTTTATTAGTGAATTAAACTCAGCAATATTGATTTTAGTCCTTAACATAACCTTATGTCTATGTCAAAAGTTAAAGTCTTATATCTACTTTCAAAAAAGTTTTTAAAAAAAGTGGCAACCATATATGGTTTTCTAATTAATAATGCTATCAGGAAGCATTGCACTTATCTGTGTAGGTGATCAGGCCGAACGCTCCTAAGAAACCAGCCAGTCTCCTTTATTGAATGGATGATGATGAAACTGCGCAGAGATAGATATAGTTAAGGAAAATATGTAAGCCAATATTCATCTGGAAATAGCGGGCGTGGCTCTATCTCTATCTCTATCTCTATCTCTATCTCTATCTCTATCTCTATCTCTATCTCTATCTCTATCTCTATCTCTATCTCTATCTCTATCTCTATCTCTATCTCTATCTCTATCTCTATCTCTATCTCTATCTCTATCTCTATCTCTATCTCTATCTCTATCTCTATCTCTATCTCTATCTATATCTCTATCTCTATCTCTATCTCTATCTCTATCTCTATCTCTATCTCTATCTCTATCTCTATCTCTATCTCTATCTCTATCTCTATCTCTATCTCTATCTCTATCTATCACTTTCGCATTCACTTTCACCTTCACCTCCGCCTTCACCTCCGCCTTCACCTTCACCTTCACCTCCGCCTTCACCTCCGCCTTCACCTCCGCCTTCACCTTCACCTTCACCTTCACCTTCACATTCACTTTCACCTTCACCTTCACCTTCACCTTCACCTTCACCTTCACCTTCACCTTCACCTTCACCTTCACCTTCACCTTCACCTTCACCTTCACCTTCACCTTCACCTTCACCTTCACCTTCACCTTCACCTTCACCTTCACCTTCACCTTCACCTTCACCTTCACCTTCACCTTCACCTTCACCTTCACCTTCACCTTCACCTTCACCTTCGCCTTCGCCTTCGCCTTCGCCGTCGCATTCGCCTTCACCTTCACCTTCACCTTCACCTTCACCTTCACCTTCACCTTCACCTTCACCTTCACCTTCACCTTCACCTTCACCTTCACCTTCACCTTCACCTTCACCTTCACCTTCACCTTCACCTTCACCTTCACCTTCACCTTCACCTTCACCTTCACCTTCACCTTCACCTTCACCTTCACCTTCACCTTCACCTTCACCTTCACCTTCACCTCCGCCTTCACCTTCACCTTCACCTTCAGCTTCACCTTCACCTTCACCTTCACCTTCACCTTCACCTTCACCTTCACCTTCACCTTCACCTTCACCTTCACCTTCACCTTCACCTTCACCTTCACCTTCACCTTCGCCTTCGCCTTCGCCTTCGCCGTCGCATTCGCCTTCACCTTCACCTTCACCTTCACCTTCACCTTCACCTTCACCTTCACCTTCACCTTCACCTTCACCTTCACCTTCACCATCACCTTCACCTTCACCTTCACCTTCACCTTCACCTTCACCTTCACCTTCACCTTCACCTTCACCTTCACCTTCACCTTCACCTTCACCTTCACCTTCACCTTCACCTTCACCTTCACCTTCACCTTCACCTTCACCTTCACCTTCACCTTCACCTTCACCTTCACCTTCACCTTCACCTTCACCTTCACCTTCACCTTCACCTTCACCTTCACCTTCACCTTCACCTCCACCTCCACCTCCACTTTCTCGTCGATTCTCATATGTGAGAACAGTGTTACACTAATGTTTTGGCAAAGCATCATAAAAAAGAAGTTAACCTCAAAGACAACATTTTTAGACAGTCTCTAGTTGACCAGTCCCAATAGGAAACGCCCGGTAATGAACATGACACGTACACCAGCACCGCCCAACTCAACCACATTATAGGGAATCGAGCGATCCAGTGCCCGTGCCACTGCCAATGAAGCCTCTGTCACCTCTCTCAATCTGTCTGACTGTCTCTTTGTATTTACTGAACTATCCTCTTGGTAACTTACTCAAGATCTATATGCAGAAGTTTACTAATTAACATATTGAATGGACGAAACAGACTAAACGGTGTCCGACGCTGCAAAACATTAGTCTTCAATAGAGTTTGTCGAACGATAAAGACTTAACCATTTAAATCGCACTTAATTCTATATTACTGCTTCGGCACGAATGGGTCGTCTCGACCGGAGTGATACCACGGCCTCACAGAAAACCGGAGTGAAACAACCATAGCATTGTGTTTCGCCGTGTGATTGAGGAAACCGGAGGCCCAATTCTTCCCCTCCTCCATCCCTAAATCTCCAAATCCCTAATCCACAGGTCGGCAATGCACTCATAACTCCTATGTTCTTGTGTGTCCATGGGCGGCGCTGATTGCTTTTTCATCATGATTTATGACCATACCTATTATAATTTTGCAAGCTTGGTCATTGTTATGGAAATTACCGAAACCCAGTTCCCACGTTGACTCACTATTAATATAATCATACATTGTAGACAATATATAGTCAACGAAAATACATACTTGGTCTACCATTTCTTGAAATATTCCTTTACATAACATTTCGCCTGTTCTCAAAAGAGCTGACGGGAGTATTATTACACAGTCAAGATAGCTGGTCAAGCGCAATATGGTACCGCGACCTCAACCAAGAGCCGGAGAGGAAAAGGGGGGATTTTTAGTCAGTAAGTCTGACCCTCCCTCGCGCCATGCCATGGGCGAAAGAAGTCATTTGGTGATTTTCCGTCCACAAAAAGAAGAGTTATTTTATTGAGAAGGTACATATCATTAGACTATTTTTTATGGGTCAATCCGTCTACGTGACCTCAGTCACACGACGATACAAAACGTAAGTTTTGTTTCACGCCAGTATTTTTTAAGGCCGAGGCATCACTCGGGTCGAGCGAACCAAACCAAGCATGGCTCAACCGCACTTATTCTACATCGATTATTAAGTTATGTTTTGTATTTGCTCTTTTTATCCTTAATAAAAGTTATCCAAACTAATAATTATATGCGAAAGTAACTCTGTCTGTCTGTCTGTCTTTTCTTCACGCCTAAACTACTGAACCTATTTGTGTCAAATTTGGTACAGACATAGTTTGGAACTCGAGAAAGGACATAGGATAGCTTTTAAACCAAAAATATTTCAAGAATCGAAACGACCGTGCGGTAATTTACTTTTTCATATATTTTTAAAACTTCATTCATAACTGAATGAATAAGGAATACATGAATGAAATCATTAGCTACAATTGAATGGAAAATAACAAATTGGACTCACGTTGTGTTCACTCCAATTTATGTCATTAAGTAAATTATACCTTATTGAATTTGAATTGTACAGACAGGAGTAGGAAAAGCGACTTTCAATTTTCATTATTCATAATCACTTGATTCTATCTGAATCAGATAATATCTGAATGATATTTATTTCAGAAACAAAATATTTCACTAGCTTTTAATATTGAAATCAATAAAATTATTTTATTTATTTCAGTCGTAGGTTGATCGAAATTCGCGGGTCTGAGGTTGTCGAGCAAAGGAGCTCGCCTTCAGACCAGCAGTGCTACTCTGTAAATGGTAAATCTCATCTCAAAACTCACACATCACTTCGCTTCTCATCTCACCTGTATAAAAATGCCAAAATACTCACTTGTTTTAGTTCCTTACACTTCGTTATTCACATAGTGGCGCCAATGTAGATTTCACTCCATTTGAGAATACGATACTTTAAATAAACAATCCACAATTTCGATTTCACCGCGGATTCAGAAGTGATTTCGCAAATTAACTTTTGGGAATACCATAGCGGAACCAAACCCGAGCGTGCGTCGCGTAGCAAAGCACGTTGACTACCACAGATAGGGCCCAGCAATGTTTAGTCAGGGTTGCGTGTCAAGCCAAATAGGTACCGCAGCCTCGGCCTTAAGCAGAAGAAAGAACGATATTTAGTCAGTAAGACTCTGTCACTCCCTTTCGCCACTCACAATTTGGAATGGAAAATTTCAATTTCCAGCTTTGGAATGATCTTCCGGCGGCGGTATTCCCGAACCAATACGACCTTTAAACCTTCAAGAAACGGGCGTACTCCTTCTTAAAAGGCCGGCAACGCACCTGTGACTCCTCTGGTGCTGCAGGTGTCCATGGACGGCGCCGATCGCTTACCGTCAGGGGATCCGTCTGCTCGTTTGCCTCCTAATCCATAAAAAAAAAACAAGGCGAGAGAAGTCAACCGATTTTCCCTCCTCAAAAAAAGGTTGATCACATTAATGTTCAAGGTCGTAAATTACTTCTTGAGTTGCCAGAATGAGCTTGAGCCTGGTCTTAGCAGGACGACGGACACCGAGCAAGGGTAGCTCGCCATGCTCAGACCTGTGATTTTCATTTATAATCCTGAACTTTGCATTCAGTAATAAATAGCTTGTGTGGTGATTTTGATAAAGAATCTACTCGGATTTAACTTTTTTAAGATTTCGATTTAGATTTAATATTTGAAACATGGAACTTATTGAAACCATCATCATTATGATCAAACCTTCTTTCACGAAGAAGGTTTGATCATTCATTACCACGCTTGCTCAAAATGGATAGGCGATTTCAAACTTAATAATTAGTCATTATACGTCTTTCCTCACGATGTTTTCATTCACAATATGTCAGTGGTGTCTAAATAATAATAGAAAGTTACTTAAAACTCGGAAAAAGTCACATTGATACTTGTCAGGTTTCGAACCCTCATGTACCACCACGACATGAAAATCATACATTCAAGAATTGTGCATCCATTCTTTTTTCATTCATTATCCATTCATTTGTAATAATTACACTTATGAATAATATGAGTGTATGGTTTTGTGCCAATCAACGAAATAACTGATTTTTTTTTCTCGTTTATTAAACAACAACATTGATACAATCATGTTAACTTGTATATACAATTATACATATTCAAATTCCACCTGTTAAAAATTCCAATTTATTGCTCGACTACCAACAAAACGATCCAAATAAATTTGCCATTTTACTTGCCAATTTACAACTGATTGACCCAACAATACTGAATTGATTTTCGCACGGTGTTCAACTATGCGAAAAATGTGGACAAAATGTAAATCGATGATTGTTGTCAGTGTTGACGAATTAAGCCGTTTGTGTCCACTGTGCCTTTATTTATTTGTTGGTGGCCAGTGATCTGATAAATAAGTCTGGTCGCCTTTTTTGTGTGATCTCCATTTAGGTACAATGTGATTTGCTTTTTAATGGGATACGCATGAGAAAATATTCGTATGTAAACGTTGAACATTCATCATACCTTACCATTGTGTGTTTATGACACAACTTTTATTAACTAAATCTGTGGAGAAATGTGTAATTATTATACATAAGATAATATTTTTAACGGTTTAGAACTCACGTCTTCACAAAAGTTGTCATTATTACATTTTCAATGTGATTGAATTAAAAACGTGTTGAACTTCATCATAAAGTAAAAGATAATGCTTGCATGAACATAAAACAAAAAAAAATGTTTTTCATACATTGTAAACCAACCCTCGCCCGCAGCTTCGCCCGCGTTACATGTTGAGTATAACCAATTTACATATCAAATTTCAATCAAATCGTTCCAGCCGTTTCTGACTGAAAGAATAACAAAAAAACATCCATATATTACATTAGTAAGATTAAAATAAAACAAGTAAACACAATACCTTAGTGCTAAACTACTCTCTCCGTTTTCAACAAACAAATAGAAACAGGTTCAAGTTATTACTAATTGTGAACGTATATGTATGGAGTGCACAGTGGGCGGGACAGCCATATCGTTCGCGTAATCGACCGTGAAACTACTTTCTCACGCCGTCCTACCTACTCCATATTTTTTCCATGTTTAGAAAGAACAACTCACTGTGCAATCTCGGATATTAGATATTTTAACAGTTCATTAGTTGTTTACTAAAGATAAAATTCTTTTTTTTTTTTGTGAGGGGAAAATCATCAAATGACTTCTCCCGCCCAGGGCCGGACAGGAGGGAGTGTCAGACTCTTACTGACTAAAAACCCCCCTGTTCCTTCTCCTGCTCTGTGCCGAGGTCGCGGTGCCACATTGCGCTTACCCCGCAACGCCCGAAGACCGTAGTTGTGGCACACATGTTAAGGCGCCCCCTTCTCATGCATGAGGAGGTGGGTTGGGATACTTACCAAGTACGGAAGAGCCAATCTTCGGCACGAATGCTTCGACTCGACCGGAGTGATACCACGGCCTCACAGAATACCGGCGTGAAACAACTAAAGCGTTGTGTTTTATCCTTTGAGGGAGGTTACTGGACCTCAATATCTCCCCATCCCTTCCCAATCCCTAAATATCCGAAACCCTTATACCCAAAAGGCCGGCAACGCACTCGTAACTCCTTTAGTGTTGCGAATGTCACTGGGTGGCGCCGATTGCTTACCATCAGGTAATACGTCTGCTAGTCTGCCGATATATCCCATAAAAAGCAAGTACCAATGTGACTTTGTCCGGGAAAGTTGTATACATTCCAAAGTTCATTTAACTACGACATACGATGAAATTGAAATTGAAATCAAAATCGCCAATCCGCCATGAGCAAGCGTAGTGATTAATGCTCAAACCTTCTCCGTATGAGAAGAGGACTTAGCTCAGTTGCGCAGAAGGCAATTATAGGCTGACGATGTAAAATGTATTTTTACTAGAAAGATATTTGTTCAAGTATCACTGAACATAAAATTACGTCATTTATTCGATAATTAAAGCTTAGTTATCAAAGTTAGGTGCTAATAGCAGCTATAGTTCCGTACATCTTTTTTAATATTATATAAAAAATAGAAGGAAATAAACATCTTATAAATAAATTCTTGAGAAAAAAGGTGTAAAATTTTGCTGTTTACAGGCTTTTTTTGTTTAAATCGATATTTTTATGATTCTATCATCACTACAAGTGTGGTAGCTTAAAATACTACATGTCACTAGTTAGCCTTCTTAGTATTTTTATGAAAATCAGTAGATATAATCGCGCTGCTGGCAAATGATTAGATTCAGCTTTTTTACGAGGGGATAATCATCTAATGACTTCTCCCACCCAAGGTCAGGCGAAAGAGAGTGTCAGACTCTTACTAATTAAAAACCCCCCCGTTCCTTCTCCTGCTCTGGGCCAAGGCCGCGGTGCCTCATTGCGCTTGCCCCGCAATCCTGGCTGAACATCAGCCCTAAAGGGTTCTGTGGTGGTCTATTGGCTCTTTGAGGCGCGCGCGGAACGCTACGTGCCGTACGCTCGGGTCTGGTTCTGATCTTATTTGCCGTCCGCAGACCCGCGCTTACAGCTTAGATTCAGCTGGGGTCGCAACTGCAAGCACAATTTATGTAGAAGAAGTATCGTTTCATAACGTACTTTTATCATCATCATCATCATCATCAGTAACAGTCCCTCTCGCACTACAAAGGGTGGGCGAAGTCATTAACAAATTTTACCTTCCCAAAAAAAGAATAGTAATAAGTTTAGAAATGCAAAATATTAAAATAACAAAAAATAATATAAAGAGCAAGTTTGGGTCTTCTTGAAATTAAAAACCTATTGTAACAAGAGGCTTTTTAGTAATTTACTGCCTGAAACAGAAAAAGGAACAAGATGGCTTTTAGTCAGCAAGAGTCTGAGTCTCTCTCGCCTCACCCTGGGCGAGAAGACACTTGATGACTTTCCTCTTCAAAAAATCGTTAAAGTTCAAAAAACTATCACGTTAATACCAAGGTTACTTTCGCAAACGATATTTAAGCAAATGCAAATTAATCAGATGCAACTTATTATTGCAATACTTAGAATAATATATTTAAAAGGCAACAACGATATATTTCATTGTTACCACACAATATTTAATTTATTTATTTTGGCTAGCAATAAATCACTGACTTTAATTAACTTGTCGAAATTGTGAAAATGTTGATAGAAAAAAAATTGTTTACTCTTTGTTAAGTGCATAAAATCCTGATCCAAAAATCCAACCTAATCTGATCCTCTTAAACACAGAACAGAAAAAAAATGATCACTGACCTCTTTAGATGAGGCCAATAATCCAACAGTTTTAATGGCGGTTGCTGATGATGATGATCAGTTACGACATTATCATCATCACTAACACTTAAATGCATAAATACCTCTCCTCATACGGAGATGGATTGGCAAGTTCAAACTTATAAATATAATTTCTCAGTTCGGGTTTCCTCTTAATCGGACCAAAATCCGAACTGTTTCGCGCGCGCCTTAAAGACCTCTCAGACAACAGATAGGGTCCACTAAGGCCGTCGACCAACCACCTGCAGGTATAAAACGCAAGCAATGTACCACAGACCGTTTAGAGCAGAAGAAGGTACGGGGTGATTTTAAGTTAATAAGGATCTGCAACTACTCTACTAAGGCGAAAAGCGTGTCCTCAGGGAAGTGATCGGCAGCGGCAACCTGTCTGTTGCAGAGCGAGTTCCTCTTTCTATGAAGCAGCCATGCTCGCAAAGAAGGATGCGGAGCACGTGAGGGAGCTATCCTCCTCCTCCTCACGCCCCAGCCGCCGCAGAAGCCGACACTCCGGGGTCGGGGTTCGAGAACGATCAGCACGAGTCTCCGGACAGCGAGTAAGGGTACCTGGTCGCCCGACCAGAACCAGACCCGAGCGTACGGCGCGGTGCGTTCCGCGTGCGTGCTCAAATAATCAATAGACCACCACAGATAGGATTTACTAAAGCCGATGTCCAACCAGAGTTACGGATACAAGCGCAATGATGTACCGGTTCAAAGCAGAAAAAGAACAGGGTGATTAGTCAATAATAATCTTAAACTACTGTACTTACTGAGACGAAAAAGTCATGATTTTCTGACCATAACATAAAATAAACATTCAAAAAACAGTGCCATACCTTCACGCCGTGATATTACGCAGAGGTACAAGGTAGGTACATGTTTCGTCACTGCGTCTAGTCTAGTACTTGAAGTTATTAGTGCAGCAAGTGATGTAACAACTGATCGCAACTCGCAACCGACTGTTGCAGGGAAACTAGTTTGTTTGCGTGGTCATGTGGTCATTTCACTATAGTGGGGTAGGCAGAGCTGGGTTGAAAAGGCCGTAGAGTAAGACATAATTATGTCATAGTTATTGTTACTATAGTTCCTCTACCTTTTCTTTGATTAGGGAAAATCATGAAAAAGGGCATAATGGAGTTGACGGCAGGTTCATCGTGGCGTGTGCAAGAAGAAAAAGACTAGCATTTTGTTGCAAAACGGCTACCGCTCCATCAATGATAATCAAATAGTTAGAGGGGCTATTTTTTTTAAATTATTAGTTGTAATAGATTGAATACAGATACAATAAATGTAATAAAACGTTATATAGTAGCCATAAGATAATTATTTATTTTATTCACTATGCCCAATGTCTTTTATATTTGAATTACATGACAATCAAAACTTGAATAAAGAAGTGTTATTGTCATTAGTCTAATTAAAAAGGTCCTACAATACAAAATGAAATTAGGAGATTTTTTTGTAATAATGCTCTCGTAATTCATACTAAATTATTAAATATATTTAAGAGCATTATAAACGTACCTTTTTGACGAGGATCTCGACTGGTTTCAAGCCACGCTGGGAGCCATATTCATTAGCAGTATTACGCAACACACGACGCGGCGAAGACGTGTCACAGACAGAGAAAGAGAAAGAGAGAGAAAAAGGAAGATAAATACTATGGGGGATTGTAAAATATACTAAAACACAATTTTTTGTTTTATAACTATCTATCTTTATGTCATTTAAGGGCTGATTTTTCAATGGTTAGATAAAAGTTATAATGTTTGTATTAGACAGTGACAGCAACAATTTTATTCCTCAGATAACATTTATCTGACTTTTGAAAAATCAGCGCTATGACTAATAATAAATATTAGGTACAAAGTGCAACATAATATATAAAATTTAATCCCGCAAAAAATATTAGCACCAACTTACAATGTTTCAGATTTATATATAGAAATCCTTGAATTTATTATTGCAAAAAGTATATTTAAAGTTACGAAATTATTCATAAACATAGTGGCAGATGTAAAAACTACATTAGTATGTGTGATAAAATAAAACTTTTTAGTTATAATAATATTTGTTTATCGATTCCGTCTACGGAAGAGTAAATTATGGCACAGATGAATGCAAACGTTTTCGTACTCAACAGATGGCGTTAAATTTAAAATAGCATAAGGTTTTTTAAATATTTCTGTCTCCTCCAAGGAATAAGGACAGTGGAAACTATTTCATTAGTTTTTCGTAGACACAAATCTACACTTTTTATCCGAATCTGTCTGAACTACGTTTAAGAACCGAGTGTCATTTTTTTCCAAGAAACTGGGTGAGGTTAGCGGGGACAAAAACCTCTATCAACAATCTAAAACAATTAGGTAATATCAACTCCCTATCCCCAAACCCGTATCCCCAAACCATATCCCCAAACCCCTATCCCCAAACCCCTATCCCCAAACCCCTATCCTCAAACCCCTATCTCCAAACCCCATCCCACGTATTCACAAATCCTTATCCCAAGTACTTATTCTCACATCCCTATCTCCAAAACCCTATCCCCAGACCCTTATCCGCAAACCCCTAACCGCAAATCTCAATTGCAACATTAGGATGTTACGATTGCTTCCTATCAGGAGACCCACCTTTACGTTTACCTACCATCTTTCAAAAATAAACTACATTTTTAAGAATTTATTTGACCCAACAACAAGTTAGACATCATAAGGTAAGTTATACAAGCTGTAAACATCTAATTACACATGTCAAGTAATTAATAACACATTTGGAACGTATTTTCCAGCGACAATCTAGACTTAAATTGCAGGATTCGTCCAATAATCTTCTAGACACAATAAATACTAGATATCAAAATTATAATTGGGTATGTATATGAGCTCACGGTTAAGATTGCGTTGATTGGGTTAACCATGATTATGAGAATAGGGTGGCCAACTAAATTGGGTAGTTTCCTAGATCAAAAATTCGACTGCACGGTTGGTGCGGTTCAGCCGGGGTTGCGGGGTAAGCGCAATAAGGTACCGCGACCTCGGCACAGAGCAGGAGAAGGAACAGGGGGGTTTTTAGTCAGTAAGAGTCTGACACTCCCTCCTGCCCGGCCCTGGGCGGGAGAAGTCATTTGATGATTTTCCCCTCACAAAAAAAAAAAAAAAAAAAAAAACGGTTGGTGCGGTGGCTGGGGGCAACTGGCTGCCGTGCAACGTGTCGCGGGTTCGATTCCCGCACGGAACAACTCTTTGTGTGATCCACAAATTGTTGTTCCGGGTCTGGGTGTCATGTGTATGTGAAATTGTATGTTAGTAACGGCACCCACGACACAGGATAAAATCCTAATATGGGGCAACGTTTTATAAAAAAAAAGATAAAGAAAAGAAAAAAAAAGATAAAAATAAATTAATTTGACGTTTCATTACAATAAAATATTGAAAAATAACTGTACTTTTATTCATCGATCGATCGATACACTAAATTTTATATGGTTTTTAGCTAATTTTTAAGAAATAAGAAGGCTATTTGACGCAGAAACACTATGACGTCATAACTCAGTATTTCATACAAATTTCATAAAAAAGTATTGTTTTTGACATTTGGATAAAAGTATTGAATTTGACTAATTGCATTGATTTCTTTTTGTGATTGTTTTCATTATTAAAAAGGTTTTTTTGTAATAAAAGTGTGATAAACTAAGCTGGTAATATTGCAACACAAATTAGGCATTTAGGCGAAGCTGGGGCTGATCGCTAGTCTATATCTACACTAATATTATAAAGAGGGAAAATTTGTAAGTGTGTATGTAGGGGGTAATCTTTGGAACCGCTCTGGTCGGCATGCCAAAATTCTTTCACTGATAGATAGCTACAATGTTTTTGAGTGTTATAGGCTATAAAACATCACGCTACGATCAAATGGAGCTGTGCATCGGGTAAAACCGCGCGAGAGTAGCTAGTAGTAGAATAAAGGTTGCAGTAAGCCGCGAACTCCAATGTATCCAGATCAGCCTATAATATATATTAATCAAGTTTTTTTATGTGATAGGCATGCAAACAAGCAGCACTTATTACCTGATGGTAAGCAATCGGCGCTGCCCATGGGCGCCCGCAACAACGAAGGAGTTACGTGTGCGTTGCTGACCTATTGGGGATTAGGGACTGGGGAGGGATTGGGGGAGAGAGTGGATTGGGTAACCTCGGTAACCTCACTTATACGATGAAACAACGCTATGATTGTTTCACGCCGCTTTTCTACAAGACAGGGACCCATTGGTGCCAAAGCATGGCTCTCTCACACTTGAAATTATTATATCCTAATATATACATGTTATATATATATGTTCCATTTTTCTATATTTCTATTATTCTATCAACGTATTATGATGACAATGTTAATCGTGGTTCCTGTTATGTTTCAAAAGGTAAAGATATTAATAAAAAAATATAAGTTTTAAGAAAGTTTTTCTAATTATATGACACAGAAATGCCAATAATATACCATACACAGACCCCAATATGAAACTCTTACGATTTAAAATGCAATTTAGTTGTTGATTGGTGTCTCAACTGGAAAATGAGTCCACGGCCTCACACTTAACAACCGAGTTTGAAGCTTCTAGACCAACGAAGCAATCAAACATCAAAACTCACCATACAGACAAAAATAAGCTTTACAACTCAAGAAATAAGAGTCTTTTGAAGTTTTGATGCGTCCGATTTTATGTTTAGCAGTTTAACATGATGTGTTACTTAACCCATGCTTATGACACACGCCGAAGATGAAGTAAAGGTCGATTGCAAACGGCCTAAACAGTTTCCTTATGACTTGCGATTTTTAATCGCACGCGAACGCTGTCTTCATTTTTATTCGTGGAACGTTCGTTTTTATTTTCTCTCTATGGAAAGAAGTACTTTAGCTAATTGAAATTGTTTTTTTCGGATTAAAATGTATCTTAACTGTTATTGTTATAGGTTTATAGAAACAAATTTATAGTTTTTAATAATGTCATTAAAGATTTCGTCAAAAATAAGGCCGGATGTTTTTTAAAGATTAAATTTAGGAAAAAATAATGAAAGTTTACAGTGAGGTATGCTGTCAAGTTTAAGTGCATTAAGTCACAAATCAATAACCAAATAAGCTAAGAACCACATGAATCATTTCATGGCCCATAAAATTTCATCTACAAAATAATTGTTACTATATTTATTGGGAGTACAATGCAGTGATTTACATAATTATGGCACAAGAGAATCCCAGTTGCGACACATCTACGTGTCGCAGGCGACCACGTGCGATCGGTCGCGGCCTTCTCCGACACAACCGTCACAATGAAAACGCACCTTAAATCCTTGAAGTGTTGTTTAATCACTACGAAATTAAAGATCATTTAGACAAGCAACGAACATTCGCCTTACTGGCGTCGTGTGCAGCGCTAGTGTGCATTGGTGAAGAAAATATTGTGAAAGATAAAAGAAAATGTCGATACGCAAACATTTTGTGTGCTTAGTGTTCAGTGTGTGCGTTTATGGCAGTCTGCAATTGATACCGTTGCGTAAGTTCTCTTTTTAAATGTCGTTCGGATTTTAAATGTAACCGTTTCGTTTTTATTTTGAATTTTCGAATTTCTGTCTACCGTCATTTTGATTTTCTATTATCTAATAGGCGTTTAGCTACGAATTTTCTCATGTAATTTGATGCCATCGCTTATTTAAATATTAAAAACACACTTACCGCTTAGCTTTATTTAAAAGCTATATTTTTAAATTAAATAGAGATCTATTTAAACTCTGATGCAGTTTTGATAAACTTACTACTAACCAATTGTTACCCAATTAAAACAAAGTATTTTTATCAGCTGATATTTAAATTGTATTTAGGATAAAACTTATTTACTCAATAGGTATATTCCCAATGATTAAATGTAGTTCACTACTGCATAAATAATAAATGTATAAGTTATAGTAATAAGTTTCAAAAGGTTTAGGTTTGTCAGAAAAAGTAGTTTGCCGGGTCTCTGTCGATTGCAAGATTTGTACTCAGTATAGGTAACATAGACTATTACAATAACAATTTTATAAAATAACATAATTAAAATTCCACAGCTGACTACATCCATCCATGTTCGGAACTAAGTGACGAATGTTTTACAAAAGCCACATTGGACGCAATCCCGGGAATAGTAAAGGGTATCCCGGAAGCCGGGATCCCGTCATTAGACCCTCTCTACTTGGACAAGAACATCAGTATGACGCTCCCTGGAAACCTGAAAATGACCTTCCACAACGCTAAGCTCGTGGGATTGAGTACCTGTATACCCGATAAAGTATCGTAAGTATTAAGCGTTTAAGTTGATTATTGATTGATAATATTACTGTTTAATTTTTAAATCGGATAAAATGGGTCAACGAAGCCAACTTCTCCTTTTTTCAAATGCAAATTCGATCCTTGGGCTGAAATTACTTTTTGAACTTTAAATTGTAGCACAAGCTTTAGAATGGTGCAAATATAAATGCACTTAAAAATCATACCTATAGGGATTGTTTAAGGTAGTCTAGTAATCAATTCAAAAATGGAACCAATGGAATTGGGATTTAGTCATGCTTCGGCAACAATGCTTGCATTGTTATTCATCTAAAAGAGAGGTTACCAAAGGCCTAATCCTGAACAAAAACTATCAACAAAAGGACGGCAACCAGCTCTGGAGTTGCGAGTGCCCATGGTCAGATTGCTTACAATCAGGTGATCCGTCCACTCGTTTGCTAGCCTATTCCACAAAATCTTTTAATGTTCCCGCTCTTGGATCCCTTCAAGATTCCAGGCGCAATATTCCATCCCAAGTTCTTATATGAATAACCCACAACAAAGACATCAATAACAATAAAATTTGCATGACAATAAATTATTAAGATCTCACAATAGGTGATCAACGGTGATACCTATGATTATCAAGAAGACCTATGCTTCCGCAATGAGGACTATTGTTAGGGCACCAGCGTACGAACCTGTCCCAAATTATTTTTGTTCAAAATATTTTCGATTGTATATATATACTAACAAATTTGCAATAGTAGAGGGCGCTAGTCGCGAATTTGGTCCTGAAATGAAATTTCGCTGATTTACAAAATCCTTTATTTATTACTAGTGTGACAAAAGTGCCACTTCCTTCCAGTCCTTCTTAGTCAAAAAGTACCTATAACTTTGTTTCCCTAGTTGGGATTCCTACACCTTATGCGCAAGATGTAAAAAAAATCCTATTACGCTTGACCATATAAAAACCTGTGCAATCACGGAACTGAATTTAAATGGATTTATTGCAGCAATTGCTAAACAAAGAAAATCCCATGTTGTTCTGTCAACGACTGTCGTCATTATAATTGAAAATCACAATTAGAAAAACATGACGATCTCCAGAGATTAACAAAACTAAGTTTAATAATGAACATACCAACACTTTAAAATATGCAATTATTTGTGTCTTCGCGAACCTTTCATTTATAAGATGTAAGCTATTCGACACGGTTCTTTAACGTAGAAGAATTTGTCATAATATCTGGGCAGCTTGGATATTGTTGTCATGTCACTGAAAATTTCGTGGATGATACTATCCGTCACTCGTTGTACAATCTGCACAGTTATTTCATATAACACCACACACATTATCAGCTTCTAAGCGCCCACTATTGAGCAAAGGCCTCTTCGCATCCGCAGAAGGTCTCACTGGAAAGGCTCATGGCAGATTGGCAATTTCAAAGTTTTAATAAATTAAAAGCAAAGGTTTGTTTTTCTTTGTATGTCCGTAGTCTTAAATCATCATAGAAAGTACATATAACTAACGAAAAAGCCACATTGGTACTCGCCAGATTTTGAACCCCATGCATAAGAAGCAGAAGGATTGCGGGGTACGCGCAATGAGGCACCGTGACCTCGGCCCAGAGCAGGAGAAGGAACGGAGGGGTTTTTAGTCAGTAAGAGTCTGACACTCCCGCCCAGGGCCGGGTGGGAGAAGTCATTTGATGATTTGCCCCTCACAAAAAAAGACTATAACTAGATGCAACTAAATCCAAAATTAGATTAGCATAGATTAGTGAACTTTTGCCACAGAATGTTTTTTCTCATGATTATTAAAATGAAATGCAACGAAATGTTATGAATATTCAATGAACATGAAATTTATTACAAAATTCAGAATTCATTTCCTTTTTATTAACTGGCAAGGTCAAATAAACATTGATGTAGTTAGTATTGGCATTTTGTCTTTGCAAAAAAGTTAATATAATACAAATGGTGTAATGTTCCCGAGATTTATTTGTTTTTATTTATACTGATGAGATTAAAAAAAATCTTAGACTTTTGACATTGAAGTATATTTGAACTAAGTACATATATTGGAATGCTATATTCGCTGAGTGACTACTATAATGCTCATAAATATGAACCCCCTGTCTGGCTTGAAACTAGTCGGGTACCTCGTTCAAGTTAGTGTAACATAATAATTAATAATAAAAATGTAGGTAATGTTAGCATACGCTCCTAGTAAATATGTCATATAGTGCTTATCTGTAAGAAATTGTGGCACTTTATTAACAATGATTAATGTAGGGCGCTCTCCAGCTAGATGGACTGACGACATCCGCAGGGTGGCTAGCAGTGGTTGGATGAGAAGAGCTGAACATCGAGCTCAGTGGCGTGCAATTGGGGAGGCCTATGTCCAGCTGGGACGACAACAGGCTGATGATGATGACTACGATTTTCCTACAACTGTGAAAAAATATGCCTCAATACTAGCTTTTCCTGATTCCGTTCACGTGGAATAGTGACTTCCTTGATTTTACCCACATAGTTCCCCTTCTGAATACCCCTTACCCATTTTTGGAAATTTCCCGCTCCCACAGGATTTTTGGGATAAAAACTATCGTATGTCCTTTCTCGGTTCAGGTCTGTCTGTACCTAATTTCACACAAATCAGTTCAGTAGTTTAGGCGTGAAGAGAAGACAGACAGACAGAGGTACTTTCGGATTTATAATATTAGTTTGTATGTATATTTTGGATTATTATTAAATTGAAAAAATCCTCGCTTGGAGACGATTCTCCTTACTCTTACATACCTACATATACTAGCACTAATAGCATACCCATACATTTTCCTCACAAACCACAAACATACAACCATCGCCGAGCAAACAACATAGTCAAAGTTTCTCCACCTATTGCGAAAACAGAAGGCGACTGGAGGTCGACCAAACTACTACTTACTTAGCAAGCTAAAACAGATAGATATTTTAGAATGTATTGCCTAATTCGTACTAAATCTAATTCTACGTATTTTGGCGACAAGCTACAAACTCAGCTCTAGAACGGTACTGGTAGATTATTAAGGGCTGATTTTTCAATAGTCAGATAAATGTTATCTGAGGAAAAAATCGTTGCTGTCTCTGTCTTATACAAACATTCTGGCGCGACAGTATCGTAATTATTCCCCGGATAACTTTAACTAACCATTGAAACATCAGCCCTAAGTGCATTTAAAAATTTTGTAGGCCATAGGTAATCCAAGCTCCTAAAACTCTTTTTAAATGATATCGAGCTATTTTGATAACTTGTCTTTTGAGCCAAGTTTGAAAAAATGGCAAAAAAATACATTATTATGATTTATTTTCTTCAATAACTATTTTGATGTCAGTTTTTGTCTTGTTCTATGTAGATCATTATGGAAGGTCTCCAAGGAACTTTGTACCTAAAAAGTACTTTTTAATTAGGTACCTACAGTAAAAACTGTTAATGTGTGGAATTGACGTCACATAATGATCATGCTTATATAAGCTGTACTTAATCGTCATTTGTCAATTATTTTTGTCTTATCTACCTATTTCATGTGGCAGCCATACTCATAATGGATTCATTATTATATCATAGTATACCTAATTAAAAACAAATTCGTTTTCTCTGTCCCTACATCCGTGTGTAGGAGAGCCAAGCTTCGGCACGAATGGTGTGAGTGAGGTTACCGTGTGAGTGAGGTTACCGGAGGCCCAATCCCTCCCCTTCCCCTATTCCTTCCCAATCCTTATATCCGCAACCCTCATTCCCAAAAGGCCGGCAACGCACTCGTAACTCCTTTGATGTTGCGGGTGTGTTGATTGCTTACCATCAGGTAATCCGTCTGCTCGTCTGTCGACTTATTTATTTTTTTATGGTATACATAAAAAAATAACATCCCTATCCATCCTTAAATCTCCTAAACTACACAACAGATTTTGATACTTTTTTCAACACACAGAGTGATCCATTGATTAAATTTAGTATCAGTTTTGACCACGTGCAAAGCCGGGTCGGGTCGCTACTTTTAGATAGTTGTTAAAGGAACTTTGGACCTGTTAAAGTACTTTTTAATGATCATACTTATACAAGTTGTATTTTACTGTCATTTGTCTATTACTTTGTCTTATCTACTTAATTCGTGTGTCAGGCAACCTACCTCATTATGGATTATGTAGAAATAATACAAGGGCAGACTTAATGACGAATGGCATTCTCGAACAGTCAACCGCAAGTTGATGCAGAGATGTGTTACAATAGCTTTTGCAGTGTCAAGCAATACAATAATAAATATAGGTACAAAATTGTACATATATACGAAACAATATGTACATAATATACTTATATATTTGTGGAGGTCAAACGGCTAAAGAGGTCGAAACATTTAGATACAAAATTTGTAAATAAGTATAATCGAAAAAAGTTTGAATTCATAATTAGGTTGTGATTGATTAGGTATTGCATAGTTCTTGTTTTAATTTTGGATAGTGCATTCATAAATAATTAATGAATTGCAATTATAAATGGATATGTTAACACTTAAATGACAAAATGAAGCCAACCGGTACATAGAATTTTGTTGCAATACTTATCTAATTAATTTTTTTTAACGTGATTTCGATTTTTTTCTGGGAAAATATTAAATGTCGCCCTAGGTGGTACTGGTATCAACACTGCGCTTCACCCGCAACCCTTGCTGAAAATCAGCCGTCGTAGGCCTCATGTGGTGGTCTGCGTCTGCGACACTCTAGGCATCAGGGATCGAGAAACGATCTCCGGCCACGAGGCGAGTAAGGGTAGCACAGAACCAGACCCGAGCGTACGGCACGTAGCGTTCCGCGCACGTATCAAAGAGCTAATAGACCACCACAGACGGGGTCCCATAGGGCTGATGTTCAAATGGGTTTGCGAGGTAAGTGCAATCAGGCACCGCGACCTCGGTCCAGAGCAGGAGAAGGAACGGGGGGGGTTTTACTAATAATTAATCAGTACGTATACTTCTGTTTGGTCTTGGAGGAGAAAAGAGCGTGATGTTATTTATACCTAAAACCTAAATGATTATCTTCATGGCAAATCATAGTGTACGTTCGAAAAACACGCAAATATTCATCATTATGCGTCATTATCTCACAATCAGTTGTTCGATGCGCGTGCGCAGCGCGTATTTGCGTAATTACATTCGATTATATGCGTAAGTGTGCGGTGTAAATGTTTGATGGTATTGATGCCAGGTTTAGTGATATTGTGGTAACTATAGAACTAAAATATACGCAACATGATATCATTCAGATATAATCGAGAGAGACGGTAGGTTCATACTTTTCATCAGTTGCAAGGGAATCATGAATTTCAATTTAGAATTTTGGTAATCGCTAAACACATTCCCAGATTTCGTAGTTTACAGAATACCAATTAAATATCGGGATAGCCTAATGACATGTGTCAGTTATAGTTCAAATATTTTAGAAGTTTATCATTACTTTTGAGGATTAGGGTTAAATCGCCAAGATTAAGGGATTGAAGAGGAATTACAGGAGGGGAAGGATTGGGCTTCCCATAACCTATTACAGCGCTGTATTGTGCCGTGTGAGTGAGGTTTTTTTATGGTATAAGTCGGCAAACGAGCAGTCGGATTACCTGATAGTAAGCAATCGGCGCCGCCCATGGACAACCGGAAGGGATAGGGAAAGGGGCGGGGTTGGGCCTCCGGTAAGCTCACTCACACGGCGCAACACAATACTGTGGTTGTTTCTCGCCGGTTTTCAGTGAAGCCGTGGTATCACTCAGGTCGTGCCCGTATTCGTATCGAAGCATGGCTCTACCACAAATACTCTTCTACGGGCCTTCCTCTCGAAACTGTTTCTATCAAAAGTACAATCAGTAGTTATTTTCATTGACGCCTTGTTTGACCAGACAACTAAATTGGAAACCTCACTTTAGGTCTTTATTATCTGGCAAATGCACAGCTCGCGAGCAACATTCACGTTTAAACACGCGTGTGCGATGCCCAAATCATTGTTAATTAATTTTAAGTGATCCTCATGATTGAAGCTTCTTTATACACCAACATAATCTGGTTCTCTTTTCCAACAGATCTCGTCGTAAGAAGCGTACGTTTGTGTTCGACATGCACTGTAACTTCACGGTCAGTGGACAGTACAGCTTGCTGGGCAGGCTGCTCCTCTTCAACCTGGACACCGAAGGACAGGCCAAGATCAAGATCTGTATGTATACCGTATATATATATTCACTTTAGTTATATATCAATTTTTTCTTCATCGCTTTCATGTAGAACTGTGTTTTGCTTATGTGAGTGTCGTTGCGGGACCCTGCCCTCATCGCCTTAAAACTCCTTAATCCTCCCCAATCCCCAATCCTCATATTTCGAACCCTCTAGTATTGCCGCCGATTCTATCTTAGCATTAGGCTGTTCTAAGGGTTTGTTTGCCTCCACATCCCATTAAAAATCAACCACAAATCATTCACTGCTAAAATATAAAGCTAGCCCCTAATAAAGAATGCACACAAGCAATTATTTTTGTGAGGGGAAAATAATCAAATGACTTCTCCCGCACAGAGCCGGGAGGGAGTGTCAGACTCTTACTGACTAAAAACCCCCCTGTTCCTTCTCCTGCTCTGGGCCGAGGTCGCGGTGCCTCATTGCGCTTACCCCGCAACCCCGGCTGAACATCAGCCCTTTAGGGCCCCGTCTGTGATGGTCTATTGGCTCTTTGAGGCGCGCGCGGAACGCTAAGAGCCATACGCTCGGGTCTGGTTCTGGTCGGGCGGCGAGCTACCCTTACTCGCCGTCCGCAGACCGGCGCTTACGGTGGAGATCATATCTCGATGCACACAAGCTTAACATCCAATCTAATATTATAAAGACGAAAGTAACTCTGTCTGTCTGTCTGTCTTTTCTTCACGCCTAAACTACTGAACCAGAACCAGAACCTGAATAAAATATGCAATTATTTGTGTCTTCGCGAACCTTTCATTTATAAGATGTAAGCTATTCGACACGGTTCTTTAACGTAGAAGAATTTGTCATAATATCTGGGCAGCTTGGATATTGTTGTCATGTCACTGAAAATTTCGTGGATGATACTATCCGTCACTCGTTGTACAATCTGCACAGTTATTTCATATAACACCACACACATTATCAGCTTCTAAGCGCCCACTATTGAGCAAAGGCCTCTTCGCATCCGCAGAAGGTCTCACTGGAAAGGCTCATGGCAGATTGGCAATTTCAAAGTTTTAATAAATTAAAAGCAAAGGTTTGTTTTTCTTTGTATGTCCGTAGTCTTAAATCATCATAGAAAGTACATATAACTAACGAAAAAGCCACATTGGTACTCGCCAGATTTTGAACCCCATGCATAAGAAGCAGAAGGATTGCGGGGTACGCGCAATGAGGCACCGTGACCTCGGCCCAGAGCAGGAGAAGGAACGGAGGGGTTTTTAGTCAGTAAGAGTCTGACACTCCCGCCCAGGGCCGGGTGGGAGAAGTCATTTGATGATTTGCCCCTCACAAAAAAAGACTATAACTAGATGCAACTAAATCCAAAATTAGATTAGCATAGATTAGTGAACTTTTGCCACAGAATGTTTTTTCTCATGATTATTAAAATGAAATGCAACGAAATGTTATGAATATTCAATGAACATGAAATTTATTACAAAATTCAGAATTCATTTCCTTTTTATTAACTGGCAAGGTCAAATAAACATTGATGTAGTTAGTATTGGCATTTTGTCTTTGCAAAAAAGTTAATATAATACAAATGGTGTAATGTTCCCGAGATTTATTTGTTTTTATTTATACTGATGAGATTAAAAAAAATCTTAGACTTTTGACATTGAAGTATATTTGAACTAAGTACATATATTGGAATGCTATATTCGCTGAGTGACTACTATAATGCTCATAAATATGAACCCCCTGTCTGGCTTGAAACTAGTCGGGTACCTCGTTCAAGTTAGTGTAACATAATAATTAATAATAAAAATGTAGGTAATGTTAGCATACGCTCCTAGTAAATATGTCATATAGTGCTTATCTGTAAGAAATTGTGGCACTTTATTAACAATGATTAATGTAGGGCGCTCTCCAGCTAGATGGACTGACGACATCCGCAGGGTGGCTAGCAGTGGTTGGATGAGAAGAGCTGAACATCGAGCTCAGTGGCGTGCAATTGGGGAGGCCTATGTCCAGCTGGGACGACAACAGGCTGATGATGATGACTACGATTTTCCTACAACTGTGAAAAAATATGCCTCAATACTAGCTTTTCCTGATTCCGTTCACGTGGAATAGTGACTTCCTTGATTTTACCCACATAGTTCCCCTTCTGAATACCCCTTACCCATTTTTGGAAATTTCCCGCTCCCACAGGATTTTTGGGATAAAAACTATCGTATGTCCTTTCTCGGTTCAGGTCTGTCTGTACCTAATTTCACACAAATCAGTTCAGTAGTTTAGGCGTGAAGAGAAGACAGACAGACAGAGGTACTTTCGGATTTATAATATTAGTTTGTATGTATATTTTGGATTATTATTAAATTGAAAAAATCCTCGCTTGGAGACGATTCTCCTTACTCTTACATACCTACATATACTAGCACTAATAGCATACCCATACATTTTCCTCACAAACCACAAACATACAACCATCGCCGAGCAAACAACATAGTCAAAGTTTCTCCACCTATTGCGAAAACAGAAGGCGACTGGAGGTCGACCAAACTACTACTTACTTAGCAAGCTAAAACAGATAGATATTTTAGAATGTATTGCCTAATTCGTACTAAATCTAATTCTACGTATTTTGGCGACAAGCTACAAACTCAGCTCTAGAACGGTACTGGTAGATTATTAAGGGCTGATTTTTCAATAGTCAGATAAATGTTATCTGAGGAAAAAATCGTTGCTGTCTCTGTCTTATACAAACATTCTGGCGCGACAGTATCGTAATTATTCCCCGGATAACTTTAACTAACCATTGAAACATCAGCCCTAAGTGCATTTAAAAATTTTGTAGGCCATAGGTAATCCAAGCTCCTAAAACTCTTTTTAAATGATATCGAGCTATTTTGATAACTTGTCTTTTGAGCCAAGTTTGAAAAAATGGCAAAAAAATACATTATTATGATTTATTTTCTTCAATAACTATTTTGATGTCAGTTTTTGTCTTGTTCTATGTAGATCATTATGGAAGGTCTCCAAGGAACTTTGTACCTAAAAAGTACTTTTTAATTAGGTACCTACAGTAAAAACTGTTAATGTGTGGAATTGACGTCACATAATGATCATGCTTATATAAGCTGTACTTAATCGTCATTTGTCAATTATTTTTGTCTTATCTACCTATTTCATGTGGCAGCCATACTCATAATGGATTCATTATTATATCATAGTATACCTAATTAAAAACAAATTCGTTTTCTCTGTCCCTACATCCGTGTGTAGGAGAGCCAAGCTTCGGCACGAATGGTGTGAGTGAGGTTACCGTGTGAGTGAGGTTACCGGAGGCCCAATCCCTCCCCTTCCCCTATTCCTTCCCAATCCTTATATCCGCAACCCTCATTCCCAAAAGGCCGGCAACGCACTCGTAACTCCTTTGATGTTGCGGGTGTGTTGATTGCTTACCATCAGGTAATCCGTCTGCTCGTCTGTCGACTTATTTATTTTTTTATGGTATACATAAAAAAATAACATCCCTATCCATCCTTAAATCTCCTAAACTACACAACAGATTTTGATACTTTTTTCAACACACAGAGTGATCCATTGATTAAATTTAGTATCAGTTTTGACCACGTGCAAAGCCGGGTCGGGTCGCTACTTTTAGATAGTTGTTAAAGGAACTTTGGACCTGTTAAAGTACTTTTTAATGATCATACTTATACAAGTTGTATTTTACTGTCATTTGTCTATTACTTTGTCTTATCTACTTAATTCGTGTGTCAGGCAACCTACCTCATTATGGATTATGTAGAAATAATACAAGGGCAGACTTAATGACGAATGGCATTCTCGAACAGTCAACCGCAAGTTGATGCAGAGATGTGTTACAATAGCTTTTGCAGTGTCAAGCAATACAATAATAAATATAGGTACAAAATTGTACATATATACGAAACAATATGTACATAATATACTTATATATTTGTGGAGGTCAAACGGCTAAAGAGGTCGAAACATTTAGATACAAAATTTGTAAATAAGTATAATCGAAAAAAGTTTGAATTCATAATTAGGTTGTGATTGATTAGGTATTGCATAGTTCTTGTTTTAATTTTGGATAGTGCATTCATAAATAATTAATGAATTGCAATTATAAATGGATATGTTAACACTTAAATGACAAAATGAAGCCAACCGGTACATAGAATTTTGTTGCAATACTTATCTAATTAATTTTTTTTAACGTGATTTCGATTTTTTTCTGGGAAAATATTAAATGTCGCCCTAGGTGGTACTGGTATCAACACTGCGCTTCACCCGCAACCCTTGCTGAAAATCAGCCGTCGTAGGCCTCATGTGGTGGTCTGCGTCTGCGACACTCTAGGCATCAGGGATCGAGAAACGATCTCCGGCCACGAGGCGAGTAAGGGTAGCACAGAACCAGACCCGAGCGTACGGCACGTAGCGTTCCGCGCACGTATCAAAGAGCTAATAGACCACCACAGACGGGGTCCCATAGGGCTGATGTTCAAATGGGTTTGCGAGGTAAGTGCAATCAGGCACCGCGACCTCGGTCCAGAGCAGGAGAAGGAACGGGGGGGGTTTTACTAATAATTAATCAGTACGTATACTTCTGTTTGGTCTTGGAGGAGAAAAGAGCGTGATGTTATTTATACCTAAAACCTAAATGATTATCTTCATGGCAAATCATAGTGTACGTTCGAAAAACACGCAAATATTCATCATTATGCGTCATTATCTCACAATCAGTTGTTCGATGCGCGTGCGCAGCGCGTATTTGCGTAATTACATTCGATTATATGCGTAAGTGTGCGGTGTAAATGTTTGATGGTATTGATGCCAGGTTTAGTGATATTGTGGTAACTATAGAACTAAAATATACGCAACATGATATCATTCAGATATAATCGAGAGAGACGGTAGGTTCATACTTTTCATCAGTTGCAAGGGAATCATGAATTTCAATTTAGAATTTTGGTAATCGCTAAACACATTCCCAGATTTCGTAGTTTACAGAATACCAATTAAATATCGGGATAGCCTAATGACATGTGTCAGTTATAGTTCAAATATTTTAGAAGTTTATCATTACTTTTGAGGATTAGGGTTAAATCGCCAAGATTAAGGGATTGAAGAGGAATTACAGGAGGGGAAGGATTGGGCTTCCCATAACCTATTACAGCGCTGTATTGTGCCGTGTGAGTGAGGTTTTTTTATGGTATAAGTCGGCAAACGAGCAGTCGGATTACCTGATAGTAAGCAATCGGCGCCGCCCATGGACAACCGGAAGGGATAGGGAAAGGGGCGGGGTTGGGCCTCCGGTAAGCTCACTCACACGGCGCAACACAATACTGTGGTTGTTTCTCGCCGGTTTTCAGTGAAGCCGTGGTATCACTCAGGTCGTGCCCGTATTCGTATCGAAGCATGGCTCTACCACAAATACTCTTCTACGGGCCTTCCTCTCGAAACTGTTTCTATCAAAAGTACAATCAGTAGTTATTTTCATTGACGCCTTGTTTGACCAGACAACTAAATTGGAAACCTCACTTTAGGTCTTTATTATCTGGCAAATGCACAGCTCGCGAGCAACATTCACGTTTAAACACGCGTGTGCGATGCCCAAATCATTGTTAATTAATTTTAAGTGATCCTCATGATTGAAGCTTCTTTATACACCAACATAATCTGGTTCTCTTTTCCAACAGATCTCGTCGTAAGAAGCGTACGTTTGTGTTCGACATGCACTGTAACTTCACGGTCAGTGGACAGTACAGCTTGCTGGGCAGGCTGCTCCTCTTCAACCTGGACACCGAAGGACAGGCCAAGATCAAGATCTGTATGTATACCGTATATATATATTCACTTTAGTTATATATCAATTTTTTCTTCATCGCTTTCATGTAGAACTGTGTTTTGCTTATGTGAGTGTCGTTGCGGGACCCTGCCCTCATCGCCTTAAAACTCCTTAATCCTCCCCAATCCCCAATCCTCATATTTCGAACCCTCTAGTATTGCCGCCGATTCTATCTTAGCATTAGGCTGTTCTAAGGGTTTGTTTGCCTCCACATCCCATTAAAAATCAACCACAAATCATTCACTGCTAAAATATAAAGCTAGCCCCTAATAAAGAATGCACACAAGCAATTATTTTTGTGAGGGGAAAATAATCAAATGACTTCTCCCGCACAGAGCCGGGAGGGAGTGTCAGACTCTTACTGACTAAAAACCCCCCTGTTCCTTCTCCTGCTCTGGGCCGAGGTCGCGGTGCCTCATTGCGCTTACCCCGCAACCCCGGCTGAACATCAGCCCTTTAGGGCCCCGTCTGTGATGGTCTATTGGCTCTTTGAGGCGCGCGCGGAACGCTAAGAGCCATACGCTCGGGTCTGGTTCTGGTCGGGCGGCGAGCTACCCTTACTCGCCGTCCGCAGACCGGCGCTTACGGTGGAGATCATATCTCGATGCACACAAGCTTAACATCCAATCTAATATTATAAAGACGAAAGTAACTCTGTCTGTCTGTCTGTCTTTTCTTCACGCCTAAACTACTGAACCGATTTCTGTGAAATATCGTACAGACCTAGTTTGGAACTCAAGAAAGGTCATAGGATTTTTGTTAAGTAGTTTTTATACCAAAAGTCTGCAGGGAGTCACTATTCCACGCGAACGGAGTCGCGGGCAAAAGCTAGTAACATATGAAAACTTAGTGTAACACAGTAAATATGCATATGTTCCGCATCTATGGCTTCAGGTGTTAAACGATAGTATTTTTTCTTATACAACAATTCCACCACATAATTTTTATTTAAGTAGTTAGGCATTGATTTTTTATATTATTACTTAACATTATCTTCTCTCTCAGACAACCAGCGCATTCGCCTAGAAGTGGTAGAAAGAGTGGTGCTAAACAAGAATGGCGAGGGTCACTACAAGATCAACTCATACAAGTACAAGGCTGACTACGGAACGGACCTGAAGTTGAATCTCACCAACCTTATTAGAGGAAACCCACAGATCAGTAAGTTTATTCTGTACACTTTATTTTAACTCCCAAATTATATCATACTTCTTACCATCTTCTGCCAGTGGCTTCAATCAATCAATCTATATCTGTTTCAAGCTTCATCAAATTGCATTGAGCTGTTTTCGCTTGTGAAAAACGCAGACATGCAAACACTTGAACAAACTCTCCAGCTTGATATATTAATAGGATAATTATACAATTTAATTGTAGCTCTGTATGTAACAAGCATTCGATACTTAAAAAGAAAATGAAATGATTTTAAAAAACAAATGACGACAAATTGTGAACAAGGTTTTATCTTCGGGAGTTCTTTAAAGACCTGACATAATTATGACGAATCAAAAGTGCCAACGTAAAAAAGTATATTTATTTTATTCGACCTCTTTAATGTAAGACGTACCAAGACTGTTTACCTTAAGTGAACCACCTAAACTAACTAACGTTGCTTAGAAGTATTTTTACTGCTTAGTTAATTGTGGATAAACAGCACTTAATTACTGAACACACGGCAGCTATAACAGATATTTCCGTTGAACTTTAACTTTCAAATATTAATTTAATTCGAAATCGAAAGAAAAAAAACATATCTACCAAAAATATAAAATCTTACAATTTTTTTTTCATGATGATTATGATTATTCTAATTCTTAATTAACTCTTTCTTTCTCACAAAAATGTGATGTCGCGTCGCCTCTGCAAAAACCTTAAAAGGACGCCCGGTGTCCTCTCTCATCCACTTTATACTATAAAAAATTCATGTACCTACCTATCAAATGTACAAATAAGACTATGGGCAAAGATGACGTAAATTATGTCATTAATATTTGACAATTTTAGTAAACATAATATATTATGTAATATTTAAACAAAATAAATACTTCACGAGTAAACAATAAGGATCAAAGTCAAACAACAAAAACAATTACGCACGCAAAAAACAAAACATCCTCGCGTCCTTGCACGGCATTATAGTAAACTCAACGCCTTAATTACAATACAATAGAGTTGAAAATCTATTAGAAGGAACGGAGTAGTTTCTAAGTACAGACCTACCCTTGACCTAAAGTTTTTCAACGAACTGCAAATATTTGTGTATCACAATGCCAATGTTAGGAGTTAAGTAAAGATCGTAAATGTGTTTTTGTCAATGGCTTGAGGAAATTCCTTGCGGTGTAGTCTATACGCATTTTAATCACGGACCCTCTAGAGAGGTGTCTAGCCTCAAGGAGATTTTGTAATTAGGCTGGGGAGTCGGATGGTCACAAGTTGCTTAGGACACGGTAAGGACAAGGTAGTACCGTGTACGATAAAGCTCGGCATAACCCTGGGAAGAGCAGCGTGATGTGTAACAAGCATGGCACTATGAGAGCTCCAGAGCAGGTCTAAGGATCCAGTGTGATCCAGCTACATATGTGGAGGATGGCCACAGTGGTGGTATTAGCCCTTAAAATCTAGGCGCCATTTGAAGGTTTCCCACTGTAAACACAAAAGGCATAAATCAAAGATTGTTGACTGCACGGTTGGTGCGGTGGCTGGGCAACTGGCTGCCGTGCAGCGTGTCGCGGGTTCGATTCCCGCACGGAATAACTCTTTGTGTGATCCACAAATTGTTGTTCCGGGTCTGGGTGTTATGTGTATGTGAAATTGTATGTTTGTAACCGCACCCACGACACAGGAGAAAATCCTAATGTGGGGCAACGTTTTTTTGCTGCTGCTTTTTGTTCACCAATGTTTATTTAGTATGTATTTCCGCTGTATATCTGATTCAATTATGTAATTCAGGTCAAGGACCCACTGTGTTTTTTTTAAAGGCCATGCAGTTAAGTCTAGAACAATAATGTAGATACTAATAGTCTGAACGCTACTTAGAACTACATGAATAAACTCATAATAATATTAAAATAGCTATCCTATAGAAAGCTATTTTACGACTAATTTCAAGTCACAGCGGGTCTCATATTCATAAGTAGCAGGATCGAAGCGACGCTAAATAAGAGTCCCGTTGTGAGTTGAAATGAAACTAGCAGAGCTTTTCTCACTTATCGGCTAACGTGGTGGATGGCCAACAGGAAGTTTGCCCAGCTGGTTCGATTCCCGCACCGATCAACTCTTTATGTGATTCATAAATTGTTAATCCGGGTATGGGTGTGGCACTCACGACACAAAAGAAAATCCAAGACCAAAATCCCAACGTTTTTATAATTGTTCGCCCTTCGCCTATAAGTGCCCATTGCTGAGCAAAGGCCTGTTTTCACACAGAGAAAATAGTAATAATAATAAATAACTCATGCTCTAACTAATGCTATGTTTCTTTCATCAACAGGTGCACAAGTGCTTCAAGTCCTAAACGCAGACTCGCAGACATTAGCCAAAGACTTTGGCGGTCCCATCCTAGACTACGCCATAGACTATGCTATGAATGTTACACAGAAATTCTTTGACGCTTACACTTACGATCAAATATCTTACGTGCCTCTGTCGGACGAATTCTTCGAGAAGGAACAGGAATGAGACAGAAAGAGAGAGGGAGAGAGAGAGAGAGAGAAGAGAAGAAAAAAGAAGACAAGAGGTTTCTTTTATAATCGATTAGGAATTTTAAAATTTATTTTGTTGAAGCCAAAAACATGGTGTCCGTTTCTGAAATGGCGTTCTTTCACAGTTGTCTCATTTTATTGTACTTAGGTATCTCATTAACTTCGGATAAATTTTATTTCTCTATATTATTACTGATTTGTACTTAACCTATTTTCCCGGTGTTTCTTCAAATTACCTTAACATTTATTTAGAAGTCATTACCTTTCCGGGTTGTTTTTAGCAACTTAGTTATTTAGATATCAGATAAGTATTATCAATATTTCAATCGATTGCGAATGCTTTAATAGTGGTGCGATTTAAGTGAATAAAAAAAAAGGTCAAAAATCATTTATTTCAATTAGACCACAGTAGGCACTTTTGAATGTCAAGCAAAAAAGGAAAAAAGTATATAACAAGAGCTTTAAAATTAAGCGTGTCAGTCTGTTCGTCTATTCTCTAGCGAAGCTATTTGCTCGTGTGCTCGTTCCAAAGTGTAGATTCCTATGGAGAAGAACGAGCAAGAAACTCCATGGTTACTCTTTTTCAATCAGTTTTACAATACATTTCTTTGTTACATCATTTAGTCGGTTCAAATCATTATTTGTGATTCAATCGACAGAAATTATGGGTTGACGGTAATGACATCATGAATTTATGTTAAATTGATGGGAAGAATCACCCATTTCCCAAAACAAATGGCGCTCAAAGCCTGTCAAATCAGGATACATATAAGAACTGTTCTCGATCTTATTTTTTATACATGTTCAAATTATGAATAAGTTAGGGCATGTATTGTGATAGTATTTTAGTTTTTATTTAGTTTTAAGGTTAAAATAAGTTGTAATGTAAGCTTTCATTGGTTGAAACATCCACAGCGTTGCTTCACCGTGTGAGTAAGGTAGCCAGAAGCCCAATCTCCCTTCTTTTCTTCCCTTCCCTTCCCTGTTCCCTTACCAATCTCTAAATTTCCGAAACCGTAATGCTCAAAAGGCAACGCAGCGCACTCGTAACTCCTCTGGTGTTTTCTCATTCACTTAAGTATACCATAAAAAAATATTATTGTAACAAAAGCAGCTTATTTCATACAATAAGATGATATTTACTTGCAGGCAAATTTTCTGGATTCTTAATACCTATGATTATGTCATAAAGTAAATAATCCTATGGCAACCAACTACAGATTTAGGTACTTATATGGAAAACAATTCGGCTCTGGGTAAAAGTATAATTTTTGGAAGACTATGAGCAATAACTAGTTGTTGGACTGTTTAATTGATAAGTAGCTTTAGTGTTATGTATTTAAGGATTAAAATACTTAGTTTTTTTACTAACTGACAATTCCATGCAAAATGTGTTTTATAAAATAATTATTATAAAAAACAGTATGTACATTACTTGTAATGTAATTTCTAATTATTAAATTATATTAAGAACTTATGTTAATAATAAATGAAATAAACTTTTTCTATTTAAATATTTATTTGTTTACTTGACCCTATTAATATAGATACGAAAATAAAAACAAAATGCGCAAAGAGATTTTATGAATTAACCGATAGAGGTATACCTATTATATTATTATGTGCTTACCCCAATTGAAGACAGGCATGACAACTTGCAGGTAACTGCATCTGCAATTACTATTTCCTACAAAAGTAGATTCAACCTCCGTAAATATAAGGAAAATTAAATATAATATTTATTATGTAAATAAGATAGATATCGCATATGTCACGAAGAGTGTTCTAAGGAATTGTTCGGTTTGATCTCCGCCTCATCTTTTCGCCAACGTTCTAAGTGAAAGCGTCTGCCTCCCCATCACATATGGGTTGACAGTCAACAACTGTGCGGTTCACGTGACACTTTCTGCCCCGCACAGCAAAACTTTGGAATGATCTTCGGGCGGCGGTATTCCCGAACCGATACGAAACAATGAATTTATTTGTGCAAATAGGCCATAAAACGGCACTTTTACACGTCAATTTATATGTGATAAACTAGATGAAACCGGCATTTCCTATCTGACTACTCTGAGAAGAAATGCCGAAACAAACTCAGAGGTCAGTCTCTTTTCAAGTCCAGACAATGTAAAATAACATAATGTGAGAGAACCGTGCAAGTTCATTCTGTAGTGGTCTTTTGAGAAAAGAACCACACCAGTTTAAGTGGACCCGTTCTGAAGACAGGCACGCAAGTGTCAGTTTGCAACCAGTATAGCTAGTGCTGCTGAGTTGTCCGACGAACAATACCGATCAAACGACCTCCAATCTTTCAGGAAACGATCGTACTTTTTCTTAAAAGGCCGGCAACGCACCTGTGACTCCTCTGGTGCTGCAGGTGTCCATGGGCGGTGCTGATTGCTTATCATCAGATAATCCTATCTCGTTAGCCGTCCAATAAATAAATATTATATAATAAATATAAATATATGCTCGGGAGTTGCAGATGCCATTGTGTGAAAAAGTTGAGCGAAATCGGCATTTTTTAGTTTCGACGTAGCTGAAGAACTGGGAATTGGCTTTTTATAATAAATCAACAATTTATTGAAGGTAGATATAGTAGTATTAAACATATCTCTAAACCACTTTCGTTGCGCGCGCGCAGTCTCTTGCGCAAGTGATCCACCCCGCCTGGGATGTTACGTCACACCATAGATTATGCAGATTGTACACAACGATACAACGATAGGCAGAATGACTCAGATTCGTTTTCGTTTGCATTTGAAATTAATTTCTCAATGAAGTACCTATTTATTTAAATACGATTATAAATAGGTACCTTTTTGACTACGGTAATAATTCTTACGATGATAACGTAATGATATATTTTTCTCTTTTTTGTATTTGCGAATGATAAATATTGGTATGTAAAAAATACTTAATGAATATAATAAGTATTTAAGAAGGTTTTTTTATGTGATAGAACGGAAAATGAGTTTAAACGGACTACCTGATGGACGGATGTGCCACTGGTCGTTTCGGGATTAGGGTTTCGGAGATTTAAGTAGGGATTGGGTTTTGAAGAAGGATTGAGCCTCCGAATACTTAACTCACACGGCAAAACACAACCCTGTTGTTGTTTCACATCAGGTTCTGTGAGGCCGTGGTATCACTCCGGCCGGACCAAGCCATTTTTATTAAAACATGGCTCCTACACTAAAAAAAAAAAACATTTTAATAATCACTTCAAAACTTTTTTTAGAAAACGAAATACTCGATCAAACTGGAAAGTCGGGACTAAAAATAGAAAGGATCTAAATACAAACAAACCATATCCTTAAACATCATGCTACAAATCTACAAACAAACAAACTGACCCAATTACACATTCCCACAATTATCCAACTACAAGCCCTCGTCATCATAGTCCTGTTCCTATCAGAATCCACCCACGGTGCATGTACACTTTCACCGCGCATCGACTCTTGCGCATTTTGAAAGCAATGCACCGCCCGCACACAATTGCGATCAATTTGCCTGTAGCTAAATCACAAGAATTATTTGAAACTGTTATGGATTTATAAGCTAACTAAACGGTGTTTCAAATCGTTCAATTCGGTTTTGTGTGTTGTAATCTTTGGTTTAGCAGTTTCAATTTCATTTGAAATGAGAGTGTGTGTTTGAATGTCGTGGTGGCCCGGAGTATCTGCTTCACATGATGTATGTATTAAAGCTCGGATTCGAAACCTGACAAGTACCCATGTGACTGTTTTCGAGTTATATGTACTTACTTAAGTTTTTTTTAGACACTATTGACAAACGGTGAAGGAAAGCTACGTGAGGCAACCTGGACTAATAATTTTTAATTTCTGGACTGGACGTATAAGTTTGTAAAAGAAACGTTATCCGTGTGAGAAGAGGCTTTTGTCAGCAGTGGGCACGTATAGGCTGGTGATGATGATGTAGATATGTGCTATAATTTAGTACGATATCTTCAGTCTTGACAGGTAAAAATAAAACAAAAAAGGATAAAAATATTGAATGTTAATGAATTTTTTATTTACTTTTCCTAAGAACAATTAACAATGATCATTTTCTTAGTAAGTAACACATGTACTTAATACACATCTCATACATACGTGTAATATAAAAACCATATTACTCTATGATATATGAGCCTAAACCCATAAATCGGGCAAACCTCCAAACCCCAAGCTTTAAAAGACAATTTTTAAATGGATAAACTACAAAAGTTGCCTTATAGCGGTTGATTCGCCGCACAAATCTAATTTCCCATTTTAAATGTCATCAAAAATAGTTTATTTGCTGAGGCAACATTGAACGAAGCAATTTGTTTCTGTCATCTGTGTTAGGCGTAGGACACACAGCTAGCAAGCGATAGATAGCGATGCTACAATACTTTTCATTTTGATTTTCTTACTAGCTGACCCGGCAATCGTTGTTTTGTCATAAAAATAAGGGTTAATCGTAGAAGGGTGTAAAATGGAGGATTGTATGTATTTTTGTATGTAGTATCATAAAAAAATGAAATAAAAATTTTTGTCTAAAAACCCCCTAACATTTAGGGGGATGAAAACACAAAAAATTTCATCAAAATCGGTCAAGCCGTTTCGGAGGAGTATAGCAACGAAAACTGTGACTCGAGAATTTTATATATTAGAAGATTAAGAAGTATGGTGACAACGAAACAACTCAAATTAAACAAAAAAAATGAAAAAAATTACAAACATGTGCTATAGCTTGATATATCTATAGCTCTTGGTGTGACCCGTACTTTAAAAGAACGGAGTAAATAAAGTCACGCAACTCGAGTCGCGATTTGAACGAAATATTGTCTGAAAACTTTTCAAAAGTTTCTGCGTCTCCATTATATTTTTAGTTTTCTAGCTTTACTATCTGTTTGTTTGGGTTTTATTGAGTTCAGACTGAAGTAGTAGAGTTTATAGCCTTTAAAGTTTATTTGATTGGTTTTAAATC